ACCTCGGGGTCTCCTCCATCCCTAAGGCCACTGCCGACCCCACCTGAGCAGCCCCACTGCAGGCCACAGCCCTCTCGGCGCGCAGGATGCGGGTGACAGCGCTGAGCTTCAGCTTCTCCATCTGCGCGTCGCTCAGCGGCTTCAGGACGTCGCTCAGGCGGAAAACCTTCTTGCGCCCGCCCGCGCCTGCCAACCTTTGGGGGAGAAAACACCCCAAAAAAAAGGGTCAATCAGGTCCCTCGGCACCCATGGGTGCTCCCATCGGGGTGGCGAGGGGGCTCACCGGGGCTGCGTGGCCGGGATGATGGGCTCGGGGCGGCGCTTGGCTTGGGGGGCTTCCTCCTCGGAGAGGTTGGTGGCCGAGCCTTGGGAACCCAGGACGGAGATGGCCTGGCCCTGGGCTAGCGCCGAGAGGCGGCGCTTGATGACCACGCTCTCGGGTTTGGTGGCTTTCTCCTCCTTGGGCTCCTCCTTCAGCTGCTTCGTCTGCTCCACGCCTGGGAAGGAAAAAGGAGCCATTAAAAATCCTAATTTACCCCCAGTTCCACTCAGATTTCATGTTAAATCCCATCCTGTGTCTCAAATTCAGCCAAAAAGCCTTATTTTTACCCCAGTTCCACTCTAATTTAATGTTAAATCCCATCCTGTGTCTCAAACTTGGCCAAAAATCCTCATTTCCACCCCAGTTCCACTCAAATTTAATGTTAAATCTCATCCTGCGTCTCAAACTTGGCCAAAAATCCTTATTTTGCCCCAATTCTGCTCACTGTCGAGTGAGGTCCATCCCTGAAAAGAACTAATTGAGGAATTTTGGGACATGGGAATTTTGGGACCTGGGGATTTTGGGGCATGGGGACTCAGGAATTTGGGACACAAGAGACTTGGGAATTTGGGACACGGGGATTTTGAGACACATGGACATGGGGAATTTGGGACATAGAGACTCAGGAATTTGAGACATGGGGATTTTGGGACATGGGAATTTGGGACTCAGGAACACGGGAATTTGGGACATGGGGATTTTTGGACCCAGGGACATGGGGATTTTGGGACATGGGGACACGGGAATTTTGGGACTTGGGGATTTGGGGACATTGGGACACGGAGATTTGGGGACCTGGGGATTTGGGGACATTGGGACACGGAGATTTGGGGACCTGGGGATTTGGGACACAAGGATTTTGGGACGTGGAGACACAGAGATTTTGGGATATAGGGAATTTGGGATGTGAGGATTTTGGGACATGAGGACTAGAGAATTTGGGACACGGGGGCTTGGGGTTTAGGGACATGGAGATTTTGGGACACGAGGATTTTGGGACACGGGGATTTTGGGACACGGGTACTCAGGAATTTTGGGACATGGGAATTTGGGACTCAGGGATTTTGGGACACACCGGGCCCCAGCCCCGCCGCCGTCATCTGGGTGGCCATGAGGCGCGCCAGGTGCTTGATCTGCGCCTCGGTGCCCGCCGACTCCACGGGGGTGTAGGTGGCCTGGAAGGAGGCGGGCATGGCCTCGGGCAGGTACACCATGCTGATCAACACCTAAAAACGGGGACACCACATCAGACAACCCAAAAGTGACACCTGTACCCCAAAAGTGACATTTTCTCCCCAAAAAGTGACATTTTTCCCCAAAAAAGTGACATTAGCTGCCCAAAAAGTGACATTTTTTCTCCAAAAAAGTGACTTTTGTCTCCCAAGGAGTAACATTTGTATCCCAAAAGTGACATTTGTGCCCCAAAAAGCGACACTTTTCCTCCAAAAATGAGATTTTATCCCCCCAAAAGTGACATTTGTCCCCCCAAGAGTGACATTTGTCTCTAAACATGTGGCATTTTTCCCAAAAAACTGACTTTTGTCTCCCAAAAAGTGACATTTTTCCCCCAAAAGTGACATTTATCCCCCCATATATGAGATTTTATCCCCCAAAAGTGACATGTGTACCCTAAAAGTTACATTATTCCCCCAAAAGTGGCATTTTTCCCCAAAAAATGTGTCACTTTGTCATCCAAAAGTGACATTTATCCACCCAAAATGACATTTTTGTCCCCAAAAGTGCCATTTAACCCCCCAAAACAACATTTCCCCCAAAAAAAGCGACATTTCCCCCCCAAAAAGTGCCATTTATGCCCCCAAAGTGCCACTTGACCCCCAAAAGTGCCACCTGTCCCCCCCATGTCCCCTCACCAGGTTGGCGACGTTCTCGGGGGTCAGCAGGGGCTGCAGGAAATCCGCGGTGATGTCGGTGTCCGAGGGGGCGCTGGCCTGGCCCCCACTTTTGGGGACAGGGGCCACCGGGGCCTCCAGGTCCTTGTCCTCGTCATCCTCACCCAGGGGGGGCTCTGGGGTAGACAGGGACGGGAGGGGGTCAGGGACTCCAGGAGGGACTGGGAGGACTCCAGGAGGAACTGGGAAGACCCTAAGGGGGACAGGGAGGACCCTGAGGGGGAACTGGGAGGACCCTAATGTGTCCTGGAAGGACCCTAAGGGGCACTGGGAGGACCTGAGAGTGTCTTTAATGCCACCACCCATCCCCAGTGTCCCCAAAAGGCCATTGGGATGACCTCAGGAGGAACTGGGAGGACCCTGAGGGGCACTGGGAGGATCTTGAGGGGGTCTTTAATCCCAATATCCATCCCCAGGAGAACACTGGGAGGACACTAAAGGTCACTGGGAGGACCCCAAGGGGAACTGGGAAGACCCTACGGGGCACTGGGAGGAACCTGGGTGGCACGAGGAGGACCCTAAGGGACACTGGGAGGACCCCAGGGGGTACTGGGAAGACCCCAAGAGGCACTGGGAGGACCCCAAGGGGTATGGGGAGGACTCCAGAAGAGCACTGAGAGGACCCTAAGGGCTACTAGGATGACCCCAAAGGCCACTAGGAGCACCTTGGTGGCACTGGGAAGCCCTCGATGCACCCTGACAGGACCTGGGAGGTCCTTACCACCTCAGAGGGTGCTGAGGAGAAGGGACAACAGAGGTGACAAGGCAGGTGACAACAACCCAGGTTTCCTCACCGATCTTCATCTTCTTGAGGGCGGCGTCGGGCTCGTCGCGGGGGCGCTTGCGGGCGTCGCGGGGGGCGGGGGTGCTGCGGGCGATCTCGGCCTGTTGGGTGCCCAGGTCGACCAGCAGGGTGGTGATTTGGGGCTGGAAGTCCCCCGAGGATGGGTGCCGCAGGACGCTCAGGAGGTGCAGCTTCAGGTTCTTGCGGACGCTGCTGACCTGCGACTTGGCCAGGGTGGGGGGCAGGTTGGCTGTGACACGGAGGGGACAACGTTTGGGGACGTGCTGGGCACCGGGGTTTGGGGGTGAGGATCGTATGGCGGTTGGTTGGGGTGGGAGATGGGTGCTGAGGAACCACCAGGAAGGAGGTTTGGGTCCCTTGGGTCCTTGGTTGGGGTGGGAGATGGGTGCTGAGGAGCCATTGTGGAGAAGGTTTGGGTGCCTGGCTGAGGTAGCAGGTGGGTGCTGAGGACATTTGGGTCCTATAGGAGGTGGACACCAAGGTTTGGGTGCAAGACCTTGGTCAAGGTGGGAGATGGGTGCTGAGGAACCACTACAGAGGACTTTGGTGTCCCAGAATAGGTGGACAACGTGGTTTGGGTGCAAGAACCCCCAGTCAATGTGGAAGGTGGGTGCTAAGGAACCACCATCGAGGACTCTGGGGTCCCAAAATAGGTGGACACCATGGTTTGGGTGCAAGAACCCCCATGGGTCTTGGTTGAGGTGGGAGATGGGTGCTACAGAAGCACCACTGAGGACTTTGGGGTCCCAAAGTAGGTGGTCACCATGGTTTGGGTGCAAGAACCTCCTGGGTCCTTGGTTGAGGTGGGAAATGGGTGCTGAGGACATTTGGTCCCATAGGAGAAGGACATCAAGGTTTGGGTGCAAGACCTTGGTCAAGGTGGGAGATGGGTGCTAGAGAAGCAGCACTGAGGACTTTGGGGTCCCAAAATAGGTGGACAACGTGGTTTGGGTGCAAGAACCCCCATGGTTCTTGGCTGAAGGGGAAGATGGGTGCTAAGGGTATTTGGGTCCCACAGAAGGTGGACATCATGGTTTGGGTGCAGGACCTTGGTTGAGGTGGGAGATGGGTGCAGAGGAACCACCACTGAGGATATTGGGGTCCCAAAATAGGTGGACACCAAGGTTTGGGTTCAAGACCTTGGTCAAGGTGGACGATGGGTGCTGAGGAACCACCACAGAGCACATTGAGCCCCCAAACCCCACAGGAGGTGACCGTGGGGACCCCCTGGGACCAACCCATGCCCCCCCAGCACCCACGGGTGCCGTCCCCATTTACCGTGCAGGGTCTCGTAGGCCTGGATGACCTCGGCCATGAACATCGGCCGCTGGCGAGCGATGGTGGCCAAGGAGCCCAGGGCGGCCGTCAGGTTGATGCTGGAGATGGCCGGGTGCACCATGAACTTGAGGAGCTGCTCCAGGGCGGCCTTGCCCTCCTCCCACAGCACATCTGGGGGGACAGGGAAACTGGTGAGGGGCCACCGAGGGGACTTTGGGGTTCCAAAATAAGTGGACATCACAGTCTGAGTGCATGACCATGGTTGAGGTGGGAGATGGGTGCTGAGGAACCAGCACTGAGCAGTTCTGGGTCCCCCTGAGTCCTCTATTGAGGTGGAAGATGGGTGCTGAGGACGTTTGGGTCCCACAGGAGGTGGACACCACGGTTTGGGTGCAGGACCTTGGTCAAGGTGAGAGATGGGTGCTGAGGAAACACCACCAAGGACTTTTGGGTCCTCTTGGGTCCTCCATTGAGGTGGCAGGTGGGTGCTGAGGACGTTTGGGTCCCATAGGAGGTGGACACCATGGTTTGGGTGCAAGAACCCCCCATGGTCCTTGGTTGAGGTGGGAGATGGGTGCTGAGGAACCACCACTGAGGACATTTGGGGTCCCAAATCAGGTGGACACTACAGTTTGGGTGCAAGACCTTGGTTGAGGTGGGAGATGGGTGCTGAGGAACCACCACTGAGCAGTTTTGGGTCCCCCTGAGTCCTCTATTGAGGTGGAAGGTGGGTGCTGAGGATGTTTGGGTCCCAAAATAGGTGGACACCATGGCTTGGATGCTAGACTTTGGTCAAGGTGGAAGTTGGGTGCTGATGAACCACCACCAAGGACTTTTGGGTCCTCTTGGGTGCTCCATTGAGGTGGCAGGTGGCTGCTGAGGATGTTTGGGTCCCATAGGAGGTGGACACCATGGTTTGGGTGCAAGACCTTGGTCAAGGTAGAAGTTGGGTGCTGAGGAACCACCACTGAGAACATTTGGGGTCCCAAATCAGGTGGACACCACGGTTTGGGTGCAAGAACCCCCTTGGGTCCTCGACTGAGGTAGAAATGGGTGCCCCAACCCCCTCCTGACCCCCCACCCCGCCATCTCCACTCACTGTATTTGATGTAGGGGTGGTCCTTGGGGACGCGCTCCAGGCTGATGTCGTTCTCGTGCCGCTTGGGGACGTCGGAGTCGGCCACGCGGGGGGGCAGG